AAGGTTTCCAAAGCATCTTCAAAAGGCAGGAATCTACTACTTTAAGTATTCATTAGCAATGGCAATTGAGATGTTTTAGAAAATAAGGAGGAAATTATACATATGACATGATAAAAATTATATTATTTATAAATCAAGGGTAAGCAGTAGAAAGAGTTCATTCAGTCCCTGTCTTTGAAGGAACCAGTGCTCAGAGCAGCTGCTTTGCCTGCTTTTAGCTGATGTCTTGAAGAGGAGGAGCAGGAGAGCGGCAGCTCTCAGAGCTTCCCCTCCCTGGGGTGAGTGGTGGAGTCTAATTAGGCAGCGTCTCTAGTGCAAGGCTATATAGAGTAGTTAAGGAAGATACTTGTCATTGCTTACTATCTTAATAATGCATCTTCATATTGCATCTTTTCTAGTATCTCTCCATTACTGTAAATCTGTGCTTTAAAATGAAAAAACAAAGCAAAACAAAAAAACAACCAACAAATTCCATAACATAAAACCTCTTCTAATGATAAAATTAATATATATATTTTTTTTTCTCCAGTGCAGACATACTTACAACTGGGGTGCGAGGCTTCTCCCTTAATATCCATCATCCTGGCATATTCTTTCTTAGTGCTAAGAGAGAAAGAGACAAATAGGTCTTTCCCCTTATACAGCCCAGCTTAGGAGCTGGAAACACAGAGATCTGTGTGGAAGATGTGTCTTCTGGTGAACAGCACAGCTTGTGAAAGCTTTCTGGTGTGACCGAATTAGTGGGGAAAAATGCAGGAGTCTGTAGCTTATTTGGATTACAAGAGTTTTTAGCTCTTAATTTTGTACCACATGAGGGTCATTCAACTGCCATGTTTTCAAGAAAATCATACTTTGTGCATTTACCCAAAAAGTACCACTAAACATACAGTAGAAGTAAGGAGTCATACTAAGCTCTGTGAAGCTTTGTGGACATAGCAATCTTTCTCACAATAAACAGCTTGTGGGTACACCTGAAGAGGGTTAGGAGAAGAGGGTGCATGGTGGCAGACAAGGTAACTGAAAATAGCTGTGTGCCTATGAGTTTCCTGGGGTGATGCACACCAGTATCTGGTAATACATGGTGTGAGAGATGCTCCTCTACGCAGACCCACAGATGTGTCCTTGCAGTGCTAAAGCACCTCCCAGCTGCATTGGGATCAGGACACCACAGACTTTCTCTGGTGACAACCCACCAAGTTCTCCTGCCTTCTTCACTGTACTCTTTCTCTATTGTAAATGCAAGGTAGCTCCAAGTAACTTGCCCATTAGTCAAAGAAGATGAGTAAATGACCTTCCTTAATTGGGTAGCGCCAATGAAAACATAGGCAGCTGACTGCCTTACCAATTCCATGCCACTTTGTTGCTGATGCAAACAAAACAAAAGCAGCTGTAACACAGAATATGCTGAAAAAGTCATCATGAATGTGTTATAAAAGGGTTTTTCCTTGTAGGTAGCTCAAAGATGCCCTTCGGATTTTAAATCCCTAAAGGATGGAAAATTATCTTTCTGAATGTATATGTAATGGTAAATGGTGATCTATGGATGCTGAGATGTTTAAGTTTTTGATGAAATAAACTTTTAGCTCCCATCATCACATATTGTTATGGCAAATCATCTCCTTCTGATCTGCAGTGCTCCTCTTGAGATGAGACAGAGAAGGTGATTTTAATTCTTGCTTTTCCTAAGGGATGAAACGCAGGCACCCACAACCACCCCCTGCACTCCTCACTCCTCCGCAGCTTACCTTCTCATTTGCTTCTTGGTTTGGTGCAAGGTTAGCTAATAATATTTTCCTCCTCAGCCTTGGGAAGAAATAGGTTGATAGTTTCAACCAAGGGTCTTGTCTGGTCTATGTTATATTGATACAAAGAGCATTAACAGAGGGAAAAGATAGTTACAGGGACAAAAGTAGAAATCCATGCATAGCCACCACATTAAGTGGTGATACCTCTTTGTTCATGGCCTCTTCCTTCAGGGCTGTTACACCCATCTTAGAGATTGTTCTACCAGATCTCTTACAATGTCTTCCACTTGAATTTGTGAGCCAAAAAGGACTACTTAGTTCTGAGTTGTTTCTTCAGACCACCCTAGAAGCATGCTTTAGGCAGTCAACTCAGCTCCTGGACACAGGTTCTGCCTGTGGCTCCAGGAAGCCCTACAGCTGATCCTTACCTCTCTCATAAGCTTTGGGACACCAGGAAGAAGAGGTTTGGGCAGAGGAGCTGCCATCTAGATAAACCGACTCATGCTTCACATTTGTATTTTTTCCACTGTGTAACTATGAAAGAAGACCGGCACAAATTTTATGTGTGTGTCATTTTCACCCCCACACAAATCCTTGATAGATGACTATGAAAATATGTCATTTTGAATGGACTATTTTAGTGCATATCCCTCAAACTTTTTAAACTTATCAAAGTAATTATTCATCATATATTACATCATAGGAAAAATAATTGAAAAATATATGTCAGTGTAATAAGCAGCTGAAAGGAAATAAGTAGGAGCAACTCTGCCAGAAAAATAATTTATATATATATATATATATATATATATATTATTTCCCCTGTCTTTCTGTCTTTTCATTTCAGTAAAGAGGAAATGTCTGACTTCCACAAAATGGAAATTCTGGCTCCCCGCTGACACTTCAAATGAGCACTGAGCCTCACCCTCCTATTAGGAAAGTGGCTCCTGATTTTTCTGTTTAAAGGTATAATTTCATGTCACTTACAAGCTGATAATAATTAGGAGGTATCTGCATTAGGCATGAGCACACCTGCCTTTTTAGGAAATCAGTTTTGATATGGATCCAAACTTTGCCTGTGGTTAGCAGATGTGAGCAGGCTTTGGCAAATAAAGCTGTATTGTGATGAGGAGCATTGAATTAGATTATCCTGGAAATTGTAGCAGTGATGACTTCAGCTCATTAGGAGAAGGGAGGCGCTCAGGTAAAGACACCAGCCAAGGCTGATGTCAGTCGTCCTTCCCTACCAGGTCCGATCCAAGGCAGCATGCCTGCTGAGGGCTCAGCCCTGGACCTGAGCTCATTGGGAAGGCAGGTTTTACCAATGGCATTACGTGTGGCCAAGCCATCTAATATGATGAAAGCAGAGGCTAGTGGAGAAACACAGAGGGGATGCTGCACAAGCTGAGACCAGCAGATGACGTGTGCTGGGTGGGGAATCCCGCCTCAGCCCCAGCAGATGCATGGCCCTTCCCTGAAAATCCGGCACCGTGCTCCAGGTTACACCCTGCAAATTGCTGCTCTGTCCAGACCTCCAGGCAGGAAGCCCATTTCCCCAAGCCCATTTCCTCAAATATTCAAAGCCTGAATCCATCCACATGTGGGAGGCTGTCACCAGCTGCAGTAGAAGCCGTGCTGTCAGGACGGCGTTGAGGTCTGCGCTGCACCTCGCAGCAGCAACACCAATACCACACGTGCACCCGACGTGTCTAGGGCGTGATGGCTGAAAGAGTGACTACACATTGGTACGATGGGAGCTTTGCCTGCTGTTGGAGTGACTAAAGGCCCTCAGAGTGTATCGCACACCTTGCCCTGCTGACAAAGCTTAGAGGAATTAGGCTGCTCAGCCTGGTTAACAGGTACGTTCAGGAAAGCTCCCGGGTGCCTTTTTTTCCCTGCAAACAAGTATGACCCCCTTCTACTTAGGCAATGCAGCGCATGGTTGTTTTTATTATGGCTCTGTCACTTCACACAGTCCAGTTTTATTTCAATAATAAAAATATAGAAATATAATTAGCATCTTTGTTTTAAGGCACTGAGTTTTTATATTACCATGTGTGACAACTGCTATGGCAGTGAAATCGTTAAAATCATGTAAATGCTTAAACCATGTAGGCCTGGGAGATTATAGTTTCATTAGAGAAAAGGCTATAAAGTTAGACCTAGGTAATTACCTTTCCCATTAATGCTAGAAAATTCTTTGCTCCACTGAGAAGTGATTGTGGTGCATCATGCCTTCTGTGCTTTTACATTCAAACTGCAGGAGCCTTTATTTCATCAGCACAAACTGCAAGGAAACAGCGGCAGCCTTCCAGGTGTACTTTGCAAATTGGGGTTTAAATGTGGAACACATCAAATTAAAATTCAATATTAATTATTTTGTCTTGCTAGGAGCCTGAGTAGTTTAAAGCAGCAAGGGTAATTGTCTAACTCATTGTATGTGTCTACAGCGAACTTAATCATTATGTCAGCTTCCTAATAAAAGGTTATTATAGAAACAAAGATCCCAATTTTACATATGGTAGGCAAGGGAGAATTCGAAGAGCTAGTCTCCAAGGTAGACTTGAGGTTCTTGACAAATGATGCCCATGCTGTGATCAGATACTTAACAAGAAATCTCGTTATTAACTAGGCCTGTACAGATAATTAGCACTTGAGCTTCAAATTTTAAATCTGGCTTGAGATGTATAATTTATCAAAAGCCCTAGCTCGCTGTCAAAGTCCTATAATAAGGCAGTGTTATTGATGAATTGAGATTAAGAGCAGATTGAAGAGAAAATTAGGCCACTGGTTACTCTGAAAGGTCTGATTTCAATATTTGCAGTACTAATTTGGTATTATTTTGGTAAATGGATGTGGTCCCTAAGTGCTGCACAGTATAAAAGAATAAACTGTACGTCATTATTCTAACAAAAAAAGTATTGTTTACTGTATGTCGAATTTTGCAGCACTAGCAGTCTGGTTAATAAGCTGCTTTATGGGATAAGTGTACCTGGTTTTATTGCATTAATTTATTATAACACACGGAGAATGCTGGGCTTTTAGGCCAAGTTACAAAATGTAGCTTCTTTACATTAAAAATTATGTTACATTAGACTAATTATGACAGAGTATGCCAAGCCCTAATTTAGCTGTTTCATTTATATCTTTGAATTGTCTTTCAAGCATTCTTTACACTGGAATGCAGATAAGTACCATTTTATATATTCAAGCTACATAAAAAGAGCAATCTTTTTTTAATGATCGCCGGTAGCACTTCATTGCAAGTGGTTCCAAGAAAAAATGAAAGAGTTACTGTATGCAATCTCTCTACAGTAAACTGCAGCTGCAAAGGTGTTAGATACACATTCATGACCCTTAGCAAGCTAAATCTTTTTGATACACATAATAAAATGTCATTTAGGGCAATATCTATTTCCAGAATTATATTAGGCAAAATGAAAGGTTGGGACAAATTCTATTTTTTTTTTCTTTTTTTTCAGGTTTTAATTCTTAGCCCAAGCACACAACCATATCAAAACAACTCTGTGCTTTACCATATATCATGTCAAATATATAACAAATGCAAACACATATCATTGTATATATCTGATATATCACATCAATATCCTCCAGCAAAATAATAATGTCACTCGCTGCCTGTTTCCAGGAAACTTTGCGCTGAAAATCCCTTGTAACACGTTATTGGCAGCAGCTCCTTTCCTCTCAGTTTCCAGCTGTCCAATGGGGTATGCCAAGTCACAGCAGGACCTGAGGAGTGTTTGTATTCAACTGTGGCACTGCGCTTTATGGAGATTTTCCTTGTACATTGTGCACTTGCAGACAAGCGGGATTTCCAGGACCCAGCAGGGGCTCCCCGGTGTTTATGCTGAGGTGGTTAGCTAGTTGGCAAATTGCTTTGGGCCAGAAATGTGTGACAGAGGAAAATGTATTGCATTAGCTTTTCTATCAATAACATCTTAACGCTGCCTTATAATGCAATTGCTTTCATGCTGATCCTGTCTCCTAATTTTAATTTTAGGATTGATTGGATTTTGCAATCAGGCATCTTTGGCAATGTTGGGAAGAAAAGCCCTTTCCTCCTTTCTTTTAAATAAGGTGCTATTAAAAATATAAGCAACAAAATATAAACCACTCCAGCTGCTCTAGTAAGCCATTGACTGATATATATTTGTACTGATTTGGAAAACATACAATCTTTTTGATATATATGTTGAAATCATTTTAAGATGACTTAAAAAAAAATTATTATCTTAGATTTTACTCTGCCATGCACAGTGGAGCAGCATTTTGCTGGACCATTTGAGTCCTGCAGGATATTTAGTAGATTTGTAAGAGATCCAGAAAGGAGGGCACTGCAATGCCCAGCAGACGGAAAAGCTAATTTATACTTCTGTGGTGGTTATCATTCAGGAACTTCCAAGTGTTATTCACATATTGTGGACTTACGCTGACCTTGTTTACACTGACTGTACTTCTACTGTGCAGTAGTGCAAGTTGTGATCAGGAGACAGCTCTGCTTGCATTAAGACTTACATCAGCGTAAGAGGTAAAGCTGGGGAACTTTAGGGTCATTTAAGATAAAAATAATCAATAAGCTAGAGTTGAGCTTTATTTAGAAAATAATTTAGGGAGTATTTAAAAAAAAAAAAAACAACTTTAAATGATATTGTCAAGGGTACTCAGATATAAAAAAAAGGTTTAGATATTTCCAAATTCCGAGGAAAAATGAATACGTATATGCTAAGCAGGAGCATTGTGCACATAACAAGACTCTGTCAATTTAGGACGCGCTGGAGCTCATCAGATAACACTGCTTTCTGATAAGCTTAGCGTCCAAATCGCCTGACTTGGAAGTCCTTTCACATGAAACATTCCCCTGGCTTGTAAGGGGAGCTGCATGTACAAAAGATCATCAGCAGAACGTGTGTTTCTATATTTGTTTATATTTGTATAGCAAATAGAGTAATGATAAAATACTTTTCATGACCTGAGGTGAGAAATAACAGCTACCAGCAATCGCCATGCAAAAGAAAAGAGTGGGAATGCATATTATATAACACTGGGCATCTCACACTGTGTTATTAAAAACAAATGGTTTTGGTACTCAGCTGGGTCATGCAGTCAGCTCTACATTCCTTGTTTTGAGCAATTTGGTAGTGTGGGCATTAAGTGACCACACGTGGGCTGCGTGAATTATACCACAGGAGAGAAGCAGCGTGAGGATTCCCATCGATATAATTACAAACAGCAACTACTTAGCGCAGCTCAGGGTGACAAACCGGGATTTTACCAAAACAAATTTCTTCAGCCAGACCAGAGGCATTTCAATGCTATAGATATTATCGTCTGTGCGCATCCAACAAGCCGAGCACGGAGGGCTTCCTGTGGTCAAGCATCCCCAGAAGAACCACGAAGTTGTGCCTGTGCTCGGCACCTTCCCTCGCCGGCTGTAAAAGCTCCAAGTTTGCGCTGGGGGACGGCTCGGAGGCCCGCTTGCGGCGAGGCGCCGACAGGGGTCTCCAGCGCACCGCGGAACCGCCGCGCACCGGGGCCGGGGCCGGGGCCGCAGCGTTGGGTCCCAGCCCCGTGCGGCTGCTCGGGGGGTCCCACGGAGGACAGAGCGGGGAGTAGGGGTTTTTGTCCTATTTAATTATTTATTTATTATGGGTAGGCACCTGGGAGGGAGGGCCGTCTTTGGTCTGAGCCTCGGTACCTGAAGTTCAGCAAAATAAAAGATGCCTGTTACAGAATGAGGCAAAACGATGCGTGGCTTTCTGCTAGCGTGTCAAAGCCTTCCAGTTTCAGCTCAGATCAGCCAGGTATTTCCAGCAGACCTGGTACTCACCGAGTATTCAAGCGACAGAAGGCAGAAAAACTCATTTTGCTAGAGGTGATAGTAAATAATAGCGCCGTTCTGTTACCTGTGTGAAACATTTGCAGTTAGTTAATTTTTAAAGTGCATGTGGAGTTTAGGTGCTCTCTCTCTCTCTCTCTGTTTTTTAATTAAATGATTCAGGAAGACAACTGTCCAGAAAGCTTAAGGCATTTACAAGTGGAATACAGCTCTATAGTCTGTGACAATGTACAGTGGTTGATGAGTTAGTTCTAGAGGCTTCTGAATTTTAATGATGTTGGAGATGATATTGTGTGTCCTTCAGCTTGTTAGAGTGACACTAGCACTCCATAAATCATAATACCTGTGTATTGTAAAATCAATACAAAAGTGCTATCTCAGCGCTAAACCTTAATAAGTTTTTCAGTGCTCTAACAGCTTAAACTTTGCTGTAATGCCATTGGACCTGCAGGTTAGGATCAGAGCATGCTTAATTTGTTTTGTAATAGAGACTTTTCTTTAATGAAGGACCGATTAGTAAAGCTTTGGTTGCCACTCTGGTGATCAGTTGGCAGAACAGCCTCTGCAATTAAACTCGTGTATCTCTGTCCTGAAGCAAAAAAGCAGGCTTAAACAGTCAATAAATGTTAATCCAGTCAGAACCTGTCTGCGCCTTTGAAGGCTGCCCATGAGGGGCTTTTCAAATCACATTTTTTTCATCTTGTTTTAAATATGGAGGTCCCCATAGAGCTGGTACGTAGTGTACAAGGCCTCCTACTGCTCTGTAATAAGATCTGGCATACTAACAATGTTCTGTACAGATCTGTCATCTTTAGGTTTGTTTGTCCCTCCCCATCCCTGCATACCTATCTGTATGGTTACTGGTTACAAGAAAAGTAATGTTTTAAATTTCATATATATGAAAATAAAAAGGTTGCTTTTAAAATCTTTATGCAAAACATGTTACTACAGATGCATAAGATTTTTATCATTTACAAATATCTCCCCCAAAGTTTTCCCCATTATTGTTTCTTTGTGGGGTGATTCTCAGGGGAGGAAGTTTACATTTATATATAAACTGCAAAGCACACATGGGAAACATGGAACTGCCAAGCAACTGTCCTTAAAACAAGCAAAAAAGAAAAGTTGAACCTTATTGAGATTGTTGTTGCTCTCTCTAGGATATGCTTCTCATGAAACATTGCCAGATATTTATCTAATTCTGGTTTTCATTCTTGTCTGCTTGCTTTCTTTTCCTATGAATGGGATAAAAAAAAGCAAGTTGATAACTAAAAGCAGAGGGAGGGTTAGCAGAAAGTTGGCTGATAGAGTTGGGAGGGAGACATGGGTGAAAGAAAGAGGCAATTCCCAGTCTTTAAATGCTTTCCATTTGGTGAAACACAGCTTTTGCTATGAACTTCATTTCCTTCCATTTTCCCGACTATTTTCAATCTGTCCCTTTACCTGCATGCATAGCTGTACATAAAGCATTAAAATACATGGGAGAGTGCATTAAATTTAGCCTAATCATAACTGGCATCCTCTTTCTGTTGCTTTGTATAATTTAGCTTTTGCTCATCATCAGGAGACTGAGAGCTTCAGATAAAAAAAGATGAAGAGAGTTGTATGAGTTGCTGCATTTGAGATGGAAATTTCTTGTTAGAAAGAAAGAGAGGGAAAGGAAGGATGCCTACCTCTTTTTACAGGGGACCAAACCCACAGCTAGCACAGTGCTCCAACTTCCCCAGAGTCTCTGTTTTCCACCAGGGTGACCTGGAAGCGTTCACAGGCGACAAGCTGACGCAGGGAGTGGGCAGCGGCAGCTGGGCGATGGGGCCGGTGCAGCACAAGCGTGCAAAATTTCAGCACAGGCAGGCAAGGGCGCTAATACCACGATGTGGTATTTTCTGCTGCTTCCTGCTGGCTGTCAGAATAGTACAAATCACCAAGTTGTCTTTAGTTTAAAATATGCCGAGGAAGTAATGGGCATTATTATTAACTACATTCACATTGCTTGTAGATATGGATATACACATACGTCTGCATACTTGGTAGCTTGAGTGATTCAGTTCTGATGAAGAATATTATGAGATTTTTAAATACTAATATATACATTTTAAAAACTCCCCTCTCTCCTTACCAGCTTTCTCAAGCCCCGCTGTGGTGAGGCCAGTCACAGGCAGTGCTGAGGCTGTGGTGTCCCTTTCCAGCCTGTGTCAGGCTGGGTCATGTTCAGCGTGAGGCACACATTTAATAACAATTTGAAGCTGAAGAATATATAAGGAATATATTTTGTCCTATTCTTTGTTATATTTCCCTTTTCAGACTCCATCTTCAGTTCTGATCACTGAATTCAGACCAGTTACATTCAGACACAGGTACATGCCCTGACTCACCTCTTGTGCCACTTCTGATTCCAGCCTGATGCTTGCACTTCCTCAAGCAGCCAGCACTGTGCAGCCAAGATGTAGTTTGATTTTTGTCTTCCATTACTCCTGTGATCTCAGCAAAGCCACTGACAGCAGACTTTGGGTTCCTGTTCAGTCAGGTTGTGTGCAACCTTGCAGAAATCATAGAGGAGACTCTTGCTGAAGTACTGAAATCAAAACTGCTATCTGCAGACTTGATTCATTAAAACATGAGCAGGGAAAGGGAAGGGAAAAAGAAAGTCAGACAGCATCTTTCAGATAAAATAAATCAAATGGATTCCAAACAGACAAAGGATATCTTGAAATACTTGGAAGTGCTTATTCAGTGCACAAAGCTATGGAGGCCACAGTCCTGGGAAGTGACAGCATAATAGCAAGGATACTGATGTCCTGAAAGCCCTACTAATGCACAAAAGACTTTCATAAATTATAATCCTGAATTATAATACATCATTTGCTACATTTTAAAATCTTTTTTTTGAGCAGGATGTGGTGATAAATCTTTCACATTCCTTTCCTTTCATTTTCTAACTTTCTGCCACAAAGAGTTGGGCACCATGTCCCTGCCTGCATGTAGTTAGTCCTGTAGTTTAGTCAGCACATCCCAAAATTTAAGAAAGCAGGGCCAGAGCTCACAGGCTGTTGAGTATTGCTGAAGTACTGTGGGAGCAAAGCACAATGGGATCAAATACCTCTCCAAGCAAAATGGTACATGAGATATTTGCTATCACAGAAGACCTGCTAAAGCATAAAGAAATGCATGCAGCATTCAAAGCAGGAAAAAAACACCTGTCTTCTTGCTCACCGGGTCTCTAATAAGAAAGGGGGAAACAAGCATGAGGACGGACAGAGGCTAATCATGGCCAGGGCTGTCAACCAATCCATAATGCCTCCAGGTCTTTTCTCATGCATCTACCTGCCTAGTCCTGCCTCACATTTAGGCGTGAACTAAACTTGCAAGGAGCTGAAGCTGGGATGAGCAGTGCCAATGTTGTGTCTTAAACGTGGATTGGAGAAGTCAGCTTTGGACTGTGTGGTCCCAAAGTTGCCTGTATAGGGTCAGCACGAAAGCAGTGGGTTAGGAAGCAGTGCATACCCTCTCTACTCAGTGCATTCAGTTTGTTTATTTTAGAAGGTGTCTGGTCATGGGGCCAATGTTTCCTCCTGAAGGACTGGAGCTGTTTGCATAAGAGCGAGCTGTCTGTGTGTGCTGGGATTGGGCTGGGGAGACGTGTTTGGAAGGGGAGAAAAGGGGGACACAGAGCACTAGATTTTGTTTGCTTTCCACTCTGTGCTAGCATTTGATGAGCAACTGCATGATCACAGCCAGAGTGTGATAATTACTGCATGTGGAGGAAACCCCAAAAATTTAAACAGGTCCTCAAGGTCATAAATGTAATTCAGTTTGTGCCTAAATCAGCATGTTGTGTCTCCTGTGCCCCTTCACTTTTTTTTTTCTTGCTGGCACACTGTTAGGATGCCCATGACTGTAGGTTGAAGTCACAGTAGCTATTCAGAGCATGGGCTCCCTCAGAGCCGGAAGGGGTAAAAAGAAATCTGGGTATAATCCTCATGTCAGCTACAGTGGTCTGGGCAGCCTCAATAATTGTGAGACACTTAGAGGCTCTCACAGAAACCTGGGAGCCTTTGACTGTTGTTTCAGTAGACTCCCATGGTCAACCTTGGGTGGCTGCAGGAGGTGAAATTTTAAGTAGACTCTAGCCTTATAAAACATCAGCAGACACATACTTGAAAGCCTAATGATCAGTTTACCTTGGCTTAATTAGGTTTATGTGTTCAAGGATATCCTGGCAGGGAAAGAGGCTTGCTACTCTTGGAGAAAATTAAAGCTGGAACAAAATTCTGCTGACCTGATGGAGAGCCTGAGCATGAGAGATCTCTGTGTGAGAGCTAGTTCTTGCGGCTGGCTCCTTGCACTCAGAGAGGTGAGCTGAGCCCAGATATCCCACTTGTTCACCAGCCATCAGCTCTCTTTTTGGGGTGGTGGCAAAGCTCTGTGCTCGGGAAGCTGGTGAGCTGGCTCAGGGCTGCTTAATTGCTCTCTTTCCCTCCCTTTCAAATCTCATTCACCCCTTGCAAAAATGAGTCTATGATTAATAGATTTTTGAATTGGCTTATAATTGGTTATTCTACTCTATAATATTAATTTTCATCTTCAACTGTTCATTGATTGAGGAATACTGGATGTGGATTGTTAGTTTTCTTCATGATACTACATTGAAGAATGATTTGGAGAATATGTTAGTGCATATTGATGACATTTTCCACCTCCTATGTGTTTTTACAGTATTTTTCTTATTTGCTGTCCTGGAAGAAGTGAAGCTGGCTGCTATGTATAGTATTTTTTGCATTTTTTATTTTTTTTTTTAATAAGCAACTGTTATAAAAACACTAAAAAAATCAAAAAAATTTAAACCACATGAAAATGAGGAAGATACAACTGAAAAAAAATAAGCCAGCTATGGCCATCTTACCAGCCTTTCTGATCTCCTTTCCACTTCCACTTCTCTCTCCATGCCACAGTATTTCCAGCTGCATGGTAGCAGGCATCCTGACTCTGGGGCATTTCTACAGACCACAGTAAGGCTGAAATAGAAGAATTTTTGATGAGATTATTGATGCTACCCAATTCACTTCAAAGTTTGTGGGCATGGTTGGGGTATGCCACACTTTTAACCAATGGACCGTGTTGGTCCATAACACAGATATTTAATGAACGTTGGCTGATGACCCACAACTATAAGAGATCCCTCAGGTCCTCCTGTGGCATGAGCCTCGGAGAGGCTGACTTTGTCACCGCCACATGCACTGTGGAGGAAACTGTCAATGACTTCCCCACCTGAACACTTCATGGCTTTGACACCCCTGCAGCTTGGGGATACTCTAGTCCTCCCTGTGGCACAGTTGTTCCAGGGACGCCCTGAATACCTGCACCCTCATTTGAGCTGCTCTTGTTGGGCCCTTTCCATCAAAGCTGCTGGATGGTGTCTCTCTTGGAGTCAGGATCACGCCCTGTGAAATAAGATCAATGTGCAAGTGCAGAAACCTGCTTTCAAACTTTCCTTGAGATGGTTTAATTTAAAACAAAAAAGTGTCACAAAGCTGTTTGCTTCTCACCTCAAACATTCATACTTTTAACAATTAACTCGCCGCGAGAGACTGCCAAAGAATGTAACTGCACTCATTTAAACATTGGTTCCTTTTATTACTGTCTTCCAAGAAGTAGCAAAACTAATTTCAATGAAAATTTGCATTTAGGAAACAATCAACAAACCACACACATAACCACATGTACGGCTCGGCGTGCTGCTGGGGTGAACCAAGGCATGCCAAGCTGCAGCCTGAAGCTAATTTTTTACAGCCGAGTTATAAAGCCCTGAAAAGGGGGTTTTATTGTGGAAATGCTGACAGAACCATACTGGTGCTACTGGCTGCCTTTCTAATTAGTCCAAAGAATGGAAAGTTATATTTTGCAATATGTGGTAAATGCTATTGTCCTGATGTTGCTGGTTTATGCCAGAACTATGGGCTTAATTTGGTGTTACATACTCTATTACAAGTTTGAAAAGGCGACTTGGACCCTTTTACTGTCTTGAAATGTGAGTGCTTTCAGGCAGCAATCTTGATTTGTACTTTCAATTATATAAATATTAAAAGGTGCAGTTTGGATTTGTTTTTGGTGACAGTAGTAGATTCCTGCTGTGTTCAGTCTACTTTGAAGAAGATGTGGAGTCCACATGGCGTTTCTTGCATGTTTTCCAGAGACTACTTTTAAATTCCTTCAATAAAAGTTACTTTTATTCCTGTTTAAGTGTTTTGTGGTAATGTTTACAGAGAAACATCCTGCCAGCAGACTAAAGTAAATAAAAGACAGGACACCAGTAACATAAAACACATCATTTTACTACTGTTCCCCACCACCTGCACTCCCCCTCTTTGCCAGAGCTCCCTGCTTGTAATTGTGCCTACCTGGCTTGGCTGCCACTGGTTTCACTGAAGGTGGCAGAGGCTGTTTATCCTGCTACCCCATCACTTTTCACTGCAAGGTTGCCACAGTATCACTGTGATAAGGCAACTTATGCACTTTGCCATCCCTTCAGCATCAATTAACTTGTTTTAATCTAAGACTGTTACTATGCATCCTATTGTAGTGCTTACAAGCTCTTGTCTTGCACCTACCTATGCTGGCCACCCTACAACAGGTAACAAAAGAATAGAGTCCTTTCCCTGAAGGTAGGACAAATCCAAGGGGAATGGATAGAAGCAATTATCAGATTACACACACGTGACATACCAACCATACCTTAAAAACATGCATAATTATAGGAAAATGAGTCAACCCACTGATTTAAATGAGACAACTATGTGATTAAGTGCTGTGCTCTGCTTTCATTTTGCTAATTTGTTTGTTTTTCTACTAGTACAGTACCTATGATATCTTGAAAAATGTTACTCACTATTGCTATATAAATGCTGTTGCTGCTAGTGTTAGTGAACTGGCGCTGGGCACAGTCTTGTGCATCAGGGGAGGGTGATATTAAGGCTCTAAATGCCTCTGTATATTTGTTTTAAATATACTATTGTACTTTAAAGTGCCTACAAATCACTATTAGTTATTATACAGTCACAATAAATTCTTTTATTTACATGTGAAATCAAGTCATGGTGAATTCCTCTCTCGTTTCAGGATAAAACTGATTTAACAACAGTGCCTCCCTCCTGTTGTAACAACATCCTGCTACTTAGCATTACTGGACTTAATTGAGCGACAAGAAGAAATTAATCCATCCTCTTCCTTCCAATCCCCACTTTTTACCCCTATCATTTTTTTTTTTGCCAGGATTGCCTTTGTGTGGTACTTGATAGTAATGCAAAAGCTTCAATAGTGAATATAGTATGTCTGCTGAGATTACACTAAAAGCAACTGTGGATTATTTTCTAAATGGTAATCCTTAACAAGAAGTTTTGTGCTTGTTCAGCAAAGCAAGGGCTCCATTTCCGTCCTTCTTTGTATTTCATTTGCTGCAGGGAGGCAGCCTCTCAGGAACGACCTGATGGGATGAAACATCAAGGTTTGACTCAACCAGATCTGACCCAACAAGCAGTGCTTAGAATTAGATCACAGTCTCCGCATGCATTAAGACCTACAGCCTACAGTAACTCTGTTAGACTGCAGAGCAGCTAGGCTGGCTCTGATTGAAATTACCATTTTGATGCTCTGACCTTCAGATCTCTTAACAAAGCAGAAAACGACCTGTCCACTTGTCCTTCTGGCTCTGGTGAGGCAGAGTGGCATCAGCTCCAAGCCAGTGCAATATTTAACTTAATCCATGCTCCCAAATACAACATCAAGACAACAACAAACTTCAAAGAACACAATTCTTACTTACAAAAGGGACTGCTGCCACTGCCACAGGTGGGTCTTCTGCACGTCGAAGATGGTCCTGCCAACACGTGGCCAAGCAGGCAGTAACTCACCTCCCAGGTCAGCTCCAAATCCTGGATGCATTTTAAAATCCACCAAGAATCACACACTGCAATGTTTGCTGCAGGTGCTTTGCCCTGAGATAAGCACATATGGATGTCTGGCCACTGATGAATTATGAGTTCCTCCTTGGAGCTTGGAGGAATTGGGAATGCAGTTTGAAAGAATTCTGTCAAAGGATGAGAGAATTCTAGCAAAGGGGAATATATATATATATCTTTTTGGTGTTAATTTGAACTTCACATATGAAGTAGCTAGAATCAACAATACCTGCTTCTAGAGCTGTTACACCCTATGTCATCTCCTATGGAAGAAAAAAACCCTAATCTTTGACAAATAAATCATTCCTTAAGCACTGTGTTGCCATTTGATGTTAAGTAGCAGGTGAAAGCTACTAGTCTAGTATGAAAGCATCCAGCAAAATAAACTGGATTATTTTACATCTTTTTATATGAAGTTGAAATTTGGCTTTGTTTTTCCAGAGTAAATACAGGAAAATACCCACTGTAACAGCTTTTCAGGACAGTAGATCACAAGGTTTTATTTCAATCAAGAAATAATAATAAATAAATAATGTCATACTACACGCAAATAGACTGAACTGTACAACACCCATTTCCTTGCCAGACATCCTCAAAAAAAATAAATAGCCTTTCCACATATCCTGAAATCCAAAGTAAGAAAAGTAAAACAATTTTCCAAGGTCTACTGTCAAAACAACAACAAAAACTGGAGAACTATTAATGGTGAATTGAGAAGGCTGGTAAAAATAAAGATAGAACATAGAGACATGAGAAAACATTTTGTGTTGTGCTATCCATGAAGCTGATAACTGGATCTTATTTATTAAACATTTGCATTATTACAACTCAAAGATATTGTTGGTTTTCATGAGAATTGGCAAATGCTTTTATCGCTTTGTAAAATAGTATTGAATTGTACTCTATAAATCTAATCTGTATATAGATTTGTAAGGTGTTCACCCACATATTTATAAGCATGTATAATTAATTTTGAGCTGTACCAAAGTTCTTCTAGTGAAGAAAAAATCTTGGAAAATTCAGCCAACCTAGTTTTTTTAATATAAAAATCTGTAAGTTGCAATTTAATGTGTCTAAATATCTTTGGTCTGGAAGTCCCAAAAGAGCCAAAGAATCTCTCTCACGTGAGATTTCCAGTAATTCCTGGTTTCAGCCATGTGGAAATATGCTATAAGCAGCTTTCCCATGCTATTTACTCTTCCAGACCAAACTAGTAAGAATGATAATAATTAGCATTTTTACTATGATATATTGTCAAAGTGGATGAAAAATGTGGATAAATAAACACTGAAGAATTGTCTGAAATATCTTAATATAACAACAAACAGATGATCAAACTCTTTTGAACTTCACTTTCAGCCAAGGTTTACTTTGGATTGTGGCTAATCTCAGATGAATGCGGGTTGACCCATGATGAAGACCACCGGGTTAGATGCATGTTTAGGCTTTTCATACTCACAAAAAAATTAGACAGCACCATTTCCCAGGTAAAATTCCCATTTGTACATACCTTGTAGCCATCATTCTTGCTGCCAACAACTACCTGGGCAGGAACGGGAGCCATGACAGCTCTGGTGGCTTCCTGCTTGCTTTGCACAAGCAAGAACACTAGCAGCACTGTAAGGAGAGATGAGCTTCTCTCTCGTGTCTTTGCCAGGTGCTGACCAAAGGACTCTCCATTGTGCCCATGACATGCAAGGGACCAGCAGTCTGAGGCCAGCAGGGAAATAAATTGCTTTTTAAAATACCCTCATGCTTTGTTCTTGGAGATGTATTTTCTGCTTTCACTGATACCAATCACACATAGAAAGATACCATTCTGGGCCCAAAATTAAAGCAAAGCATGTCTGTTGTATGCTTTTTTTTTTTTTTTTTCTCCTTGAAAATTTGTTTTATATCTGAGACTTCTCAGGAAGAGAGTGAGCCATAAAAATTTTATGTGTATATTAGAATGTTAAAAGCGCTGTAGTAACAAGCCCTGAGTTTTAAATAAAATATAAGTACTGAATCCTGTATTAGGAACTGTGTAGCAGAGTCTCAGAGGCTCACTCTAAAAATTAAGGATCACTAGCTCTAAACCCAAATAAAACACAGGGAGCTGGGAACACCAGAGGGACTACCAGCGGTAGCTTTGCATACACAATGAGTTCAGGTGATCATGAATGATAGACTCACCCAACACAAACTGGATTTGGAAGTTGCAAGTAACCATGCATGGGGCCAGCAGGGTAGTGGGGATACCAAGAGCTCAGAGAAATGAGAACAGGCCTGAATCAAGAGATGCTGCATAGAGGTACCTCAGAATGACCTGTCTGGTAATGGAGCCTGCAGCAGAGCTTCACCAGCTGACCATAGCCAGAACATCCAAATGGTAGGCTGCAAGCCTGTCTGAGAGTCTAAGCTTAGGACTTAAAGTAGCACTAAAATATTTATACAATGTTGTGCGAACATGGGTAGAAAGGAGACAGATTAGGCGTCCCTGCCCTACATGCTTCAAAACTGGAGCTCTAGGTCCAGTGTGGGGTCAAGTGGTTTAAGTGGTTTGGTCCCCTAGCACTTAAAGTTTATCAATGTTCAGAACAAAAGCTGCTCCTCAGTCACTTAGGCAACTCTCACCAGCAATGTTTATTAGACCTGTAGCTGCACAGCACCTGGGAATTTAGCTCACTTTTATAACCAGACTGTAAGTTGTCTGATGTAGGCAGTGGTCTCTACAATGTGATTCTCCCAGCTCACCCTTCCTTATCACTTACCTCTCTGCAAAGGCACTGCTGAGAGGATCTAGATGCACTGTTCTGATCTGATGGACTTTTATCTCCATTTTACTTTGGCTCTCCATCTCTGTAACAAACACAAAGCAGAAAGATTTTAGAGAGTCAGGACTACCTGGAATATTTATTGAGTACTACACGACACTGCTTTTACTGACTGATATGATAACTGTTCAAGCCCTCTGCTAGTCAACAGACAAAGAACGACATAATATGCTACAATAAGCAGAAAATTCATTATCCAAAAATGAGCAGAAAGAAGCAAATATTCACTACTGTGATTTCCTTCTGTTCCTTCTCTTAAAATTTTAATGACACATTCCAAATGTTTAAAACATTTACAAAAAACATGGGAGGCTATCATCTGCATACTTTTCTTTTAGGGCTCTTTAACACATCTTCTAAGAAGTCCCAGAGATGTTAGCTAAGCCATTATATGTAATGAATCTTGGCATAAAAGAACAGCACAGCAGCAGCTACACATGAAGCGGCGTATACAATAAATTACCTCAAATGCAAACCAAATTCCCCTTGTTTATCATGTATATAAAGCACCAGCGCTCAAGATTCCCTCCAGAAGTGCCGGACTGTGTGTAATATTACTCATAGCATAACAAGGTCTAGTTCTGTCATTGCAATTGCATCTTTCCTCAGATGATGAAGTGCAGACACCTAGAGATAGGAAGGCTGTCCAAAGAAATAAAAATATCAACAGGTTTAACAGAAAGTCTGGGAAAATGGAGTGAAGAGGTAAGCGCTCTTGGAAGTATTTCTTTAAGTCACCAAGCCTGGCTGAATCTCTTTGCTCGTGCAGCACAGCATAGCTCTACTGACATTAGTACTGAGAATATGTGCTGATTATGAATAACTCGACGTGAGAATATAGCAGAGAGCATGCAGAACCCACCATTCTGCTTGGAAATCTATGTACATCACAGGAAGTGCTGCTTTGTACCAGTATTCATTTGCCTGTACTACCTTTGAGAGGGGCTCCATATCTGCATGTCTGGAACCCTGCTACACCTGACTGAAAACAGTCCCTTGCAGCACAGCCCCATCTGCTTCAGCTAGGCAGAAATCGTCCCACGCAAGTCTGAGGGAGGATCAAAATCTCTAGGATGGATGTCATGGGCATGCAGAAGCAGAGAGGCTGCTGGACTTCTGCCTTCAGTCCCACAGGTATGCATTTTTAGGCAGGCAATGCTGCCAGGTTTCTCCACCAGAAGTTTAGCTATGGTTTGTAAATATACTCATGTACAAATACAACAGAAACCTCATCCTCAATGCATTGCATTTGCACATCAAGTATTATCAATTCATGAATAGCTTTTTTGTAGTTTTGATTTCATTTCAGCAATCCAGATCTCTCTCTCTCTCTCCTTTTTTTTTTTTTTTTTTTTTAAACAGTATGACTGAAAATCATAGGTTAGGTGATCTTCCCGGTACTTAAGTAAAAGGTTATGCAGGCACAGTCAAAATCCTGTCTTCTTCCCAATGTAATGTTGAGGTAGAACTTGTCCAACTCAAGGAAGAGAGCTCCAGGAATGAGGTGAAACCAATGTAATTTGAGAAATGTATGGCTCTGCAACCATAAATTTTGCTGTTCTTAGGTGCTTGGGGTTTTACATTTTGGGCGCACATTACACTTGTGATAACTGAAGAGTCATCCAGAGACACTGGATGTGGAACCTGCACAACAGCAGGTGTCTTCTCCGGAAGTCAGATGGATAGCACAAGGGAAGTCAAAACATTTCTCTTATCAGCTTGCGTAAGAGACAAAACGGTAATTAATTGAAAGGTTTTGGAAGTTTGAAATGTTGGAAGCAATTCCTAGAGAGTAAGACATTAGTACATAGAAAGAAAAAAGTTGCTGAAAGGTACAGGGTATCTATTGCAGCTTTCTGAAACATATCACATCCACAAACAGAGCCATAAGCAGTACATTTGCTTATAGGAAAAACAGTGAGTCATTAATGACCGTATGTCCAGCTTCTAGTATCTGACATCTGTTTACACACACATGTAGATGACAACCGTTTATAATTTAATTAATCAAATTTGAGCATCTATGACATCCTTTCAGTTACTATATTTATATTTTTTTTGAAAATAATTCTTTAGTACAGTCATTGCCAAGCATTAAAGCTAATCCCGTAGAATAAAAATATGTGAACCAAAAGCAGCAAAAACACAGAAATCTTAAACAAAAAATTTGAAATGTTTCCATGAGACCCATGTCACTTGGGTATTGTTCCCCTTACTACTGAAACATCCTGTGAGAATTTGTGTATCAGCCGTGTTAGTTTTCTACAGTAAGATTTGTACATAACAGCAAGTTTCTGGATCTTGTTAGCTCAGGGCAAAAAGTCATGCTTTGGAGCAGTTGCCCCAGCAGGAGGATAAAAGATGATGGTTGGTAATTACATCAGTTTTGCACTGTTGAGCAGATGTTCTTGCAGATAGATTTTGGCTGGCATTTACAGAACATCACTAGTGAATCTCATGATAGCATTGGAGGAATACTGCTACAAGTGGATGGAGCTGCATGCTTTTAATATATAGTTTATAAATGGAAGAAATAAACGAAAAGAAGAAACAAGAGGAAAGTGCACCAGGAGCTAGAATATTTCAAAAGCTTTTTTTTGTTGTTGTTGTTTTGTTTTGAATTATAAAAAAAAAAAAGAAAGAAAAAAAAAAAGAAAAATATTTAATCTTGATTAACCTGAACATGGGCCCAGGAGATTTATTTAAACCTTAGCTTAATAAAGAGATTAAGCAATATGTGGTACCCATTTTCAGTATCCGGAGAGGACACAGTAGCTTGTATAGGTCCATAATTAGAAAAATGGAAGGAGATTCAGGGCTGGAAAGGCAGTAAAGTAATATAAACTAAGAAAGTTCTTTACCTGCATATGACTGGCAGCAGTTTAAAATACATAGAGCAGTAATCAGAATACAAGTTAAAATTTGCTAGTAACATAACCCAGATCAAAAAAGCATAATTGTGGCTCAAGGTCTCAGTCTCAATCCTTTGCTCAACCTCCAGATCGGTTTCTGGATAGGATCTTTTTTAGGTGTTAAGCTCAACATAAAAGGCAGAAAATATGCCGTAGTCTGGAAAATTCTGTGTATTTCTACCAAAAAGAGCTCTTCAAGACTGAACGTGTTTTTAAATCAGCCATTTCAATCTATTACTTTCTACAAAATTTTGTATGTTGAAAGATGAAAATACATCACAACTGCAGCCAGACTCCTGATCTGACCATGCTTTGGGCTGTCAGCATGTCTGTTAATGGAAGGATTTATTGACAAGAAGTGTTTTAAAAACAGAGCATTTACAATTAGATTAGAATCCATTCCCCTTCATTTTACCTATCCGTAGGAATGCTGACTTTCAAAATCCTCTCGTTCTTCTGCTGGCTGGCTGATGCTAAAAAAAGCTACAAACCTGTCCCTATTGGCAGGTGCCAGTTTGCAGAGTCAGACCCATGCTCCCTGCTCACCCCTTCCCCGAACAAGGAATCATGCTCTGCACAAAGCGTCAGGCAAAGTTGCCTGCAAAGTGCCAAGGATGTCTGAAATAATAAAATAGACTAGCTTACTACCATATGCTTTGCTTTTAGATCTCGGTTCCAAGAGGGAAATTCAGTCAAATAGCCAAATTATAATAAATTGTACAGATTTCTTAAGACATTTAGGGCTAGCATATGCTTTGACTCCACCTAAGGGTGGTGTTATATTCACACCAGGACTCAATATTTCAAAATGAAGCTGCTGGTGTTACTGCCATGACAAAGAGCTAGATAAGAGGAAGTGTGGAGCAAGGTTGTACTGATGGACAGTATCATGAATGGGCATGGACAAATCTGCACTCGTTTTCATATAAAAACGCCCCAGGGACCCACAAAGAGACCATGCTGTTGCAGAGGGCTCCAGAGGAAGAAAGCAAGCAGCCCATTAGCAGCCCTGAGCTGATACCACCAAATCAGATGGCCATTGCCAGCAACTATGCATGGCACTCCCTTCCCTCTGACTCTCTGAGGGATGCAGGTATCTCCTGTGGCACTCAGCTGTCTACAGTTTTAGTGTTCATCTCATGGCAGCAGGAAGGGTAGGGTGTGCAGTCTTGCACTTCTCATGGATTTCTGAACACAGCCTTGGAGAAAAGCAATTTTTAGTATCACTGCCCACAATGAATACTTGACCAAGCAGCTGGAAGAACCCAGAAAACATTTGCTCTCAAGTTTATACCCTCGTAGTAAACACTTTTTTCTATCATGGTGGACTCCTCCACCTAGGACATAGTTTCGTCATTAACAGCAGAGTACAGTTATCCTTAGCACATGTGAGACACAAAGGAATGTAGCACTGTGATTTTTTCATGGTCTCTTCTATTCCCAGGCAATATAAATTCATTTTATCTCACTCCTTTTCAACACTCTGCAATCACTTCGAGAGAAAAGCTAGAATTGATATTGGTTTGGTTTTCCTATAAACCTACAGCCCAGAAAGGGGACAACAGTTTGGGGGTGATACTTTGGATACTGTACTGAAAGGTACCCCCAAAGGAAACTAGAGGGTAGAGAACCAAAAAGAGGACAAAGAGAAGGCTGAAGGTAGCTTGCTTTGATAAAATGATATCACCTTGGTTACAATGTGATCCACAGAAATATCATGTGTGTTCATGACCTTTTTTGAAGAAACAGTGCTTGATATACCATACCATTGCCTATATTTGTAATAAATCAAATGACAGAAAAACAAATGTCACTTATTAGAACATTGAGGTTTACTGTTCAAGTGATTAACTGAGAATCATTTGTATGATTAAATGCTGGAAAATAATTTGCTTTCACTGTGAACCTATAGCATAGATCTCATTACACAGAAGTGCTGCATATTAGTTGAAGCAAATTAACATTCAAAGACTTTCTGGAGTGGCTGCTAATCACAGGCTGTTAATTACTGTCATTACATTCAGCTGCTGAGGAGACTAACCACGGAATCATTCTCATGATCTTGGTATTTGAAAGTGATCTTCACCAATAAAAACACGTCAGACATACAGAAATTGCAAATTGCTGAATTTGCTGACGCAGTTGAAAATTCCGCTGACTATAAGTACCCGTCTAGTGATAGATGCATTCTTGACACAGTTTCAGTGTTTGGACTTAGGAAATAATGAGTATCAATGTCCTAGCAAGGGAATATGCAAAGATGAAGGAGCCCTTTGTATCCTTAATTAAGGAAAGTAGTAGCAGAGCTCGTTCACAGATAAGTGACTGTACATAATAATCATGTATTTATGTGAGGGACTGTTATGCTATATTACTATAGTGGCAATTAGATTTTCACAAAGCAGTTTTAATAAAAGGCGTACTTACATAATAAATAAACAACTAATTTCCATGGCAGATTAATTATACACTTATAGCTTAAAATAGTCACCACTCTAAGTGAAAACTAGAGGCAGATTTTTACAAATGCAAATGTACAACTGCATGTATACAAGTGAACACATTCTTTACTGGTAAATCAGGGACAGACATGCATGAATTTCAGGAAAGATGCCTCTGTAAAAAGCAGGCTTATTTATGATTTGCATGAAAGAAAGATCCAGCCTTGCTTTGCTTGAGGGACTTAGCAGACCGACCTAGAAACAGTTTCACCAAGAGAGAGAAGAGGGCTCCGTTGAAAGTGTCAGGCCCCTGCTCAGAGACCTGTAACCTGAAGATGTGAGACCTTTCCCATGGGGTCTTCTCTAGCATCTTTTCTTAGCTTGATCTTCATAGACCAAGCTAAGAGCCTTACAATATAGAGAAGGGAGGGGTTAGTCCTATTTCTATTGTTTTGTGTGTGATGTTAACTTGTTTTCCATGATACATAATTTGCCTACAGAATTTAGAACCAATATATTGTTTATATATATTTTTTTTCACATAATCAAATTTTGCTCAAAACATTGCTATTCCATAGCAAAGCCATAACACTTAATATTTCTTGACAAAACTATGGTTTAACTCTTATTCAGTTTATGAGTTGTCTGTAAACAAACAACCATCTTCTCGAGTGAGCTGCAACATAGAGAAACAGCTCTTGATTAGCTGTGTGTTCACAAAATAATTTGTTGCAGCTGCTCTGTATTCCACTCAATGGCATGCTGTAAAAGCCAACAGGCTTTTCTGGACAGAAGAAAGGCTACTGCTATTTTGAACATGATCTCCTAGATAACTCACTGAGAGAGTTTTGTGTGCTACAAATGTTTGGGAATTCAAAAACTTAATTTCATTTCAGAGAAATGCAGTCTGGTTTTGGATGTTATCAACAACCTTCACAGGATGGGGTGCATTAGGAACAAAGGGTCATGAAAAGGCATGCCAAGCAGCATATCAGTAAGTCCTTCAAAGTAAATGAATGTTCTGTATTGTCCATGCCCTGCTGATGGACAAATGCAGGTTACAATCCAAATTCTGCCCTTGGATGTTCACATTCAGCTCCTGTTGTGCCCTAATTAAATAAACACCATTTATTTTAATTAAAGCAAATGATATAACGTTGGGTAACACGTTCAATTTGGCCTGTAGAGATGACACTATTTATATTGTCAGAATAAAGCCATTAAAATAAAAAAAAAAAAAATGAGAGAGAATAAAAGATAGATATAGACACTTTTTTTTTTTCCTCCCCTAAATGCCTTATAAACTGAGGATTATCTGACTCCTTAGTTCATACTGAGGTCAATGAATAGACAGTATATATTAAGTTCACGTTGAGAACATGGATTTATTATTTTTTAATGAAATGACACTATATTAAGTGAAGAGCTAAATTCAGATTTCCTAAGGAAGCCTGAGATACTCGTCCTTAGAAAATATGTGAAAATGACAACATCCATCCATTGTAGTTATTATAAACTTAAACAACATCTTTGAATTGACAAACATTTTTGGGCTTACACCATAGCCACAGCATTGTCTTTACTAAATAGTTAAGGAAAATGCTCTGAAAAGTAACTGTGCTTCTTCCCCCCCCACACACACACCCTCTTAGGACCAGTAAGTCACTAGTAAGAGATTAAAAATATTGATTGCATCCAGAAACAAAAAAGCAGTAGTTTTAACCAACATTTTTCCAGTTCTCAGGCAGCTCTGTCAATCAAGACAATGTCTACTTTTCCTAACGTATAAACTTGTTTTGTACAAATAAAATACAATATATTTTTCTATCTAACCCATATAAGGTAGTATTATTAATATTAAAAATAATAGTAATATAAAATGGCATTTGTCAATAATACTAAATAAATTAGTATTATTTATTCTGTACTTGTGCTTCTGATTTCTTCGTCATAAGAATAACTATATCATTTATCAAGACAGACAGTACTCAAGAAATTTAATTGTGTTTTCTCTGTTCTTAGTGTTTCCCTTCATTTCTTATTTTTGACACATATAAGATCAAAACACATTAATTAATGTTTTTTGTGGGCTCACATGATTTGAACTACTGAGATTTTTCTGCTACTGCAGAATCTGGCATTCAGGCACATGAGCTGTCCTGGCTCTATTTTTCAGTGCTAGGTGTCTGCAGCTATTCCCTTGTCTCACTCCTTGAGATGTGCATTACCTTCAGTCCCACTCACTGATGTGTCTGCTATTTGCTCCTGAGCATCCAACTCGTGTTTTAGGCCAGGCTCTGCACCTGGAGACATAAGCGAAACATCCTCTTCCTAACTGCCTTTGGCCAAACAATCATCTGTGACCAAAGGAGTGGCACTGGGCATCTGCATGTAATTGCCACGAGCCAGTCTCATCAAAATGCCCCACTGCTCCTCAGCATACTCAGACGAAGTGTAAATTGAATCCTAGCCATTTCACACAACTAAAACAGGCTGTAAATTTTGACAGCCTCCAGTGGAGGGCACATGCTCCAGACATGGCCAAGAAGAAGGATTTCCTGGCTTAGCAGTCACAGCAATGAAAACGCAGCTTTCTCTGAAGGGATTTACACCCTTGAAGGAGGTTGAGACCTGTGACTTTCATTCACCACAGTAGATGAAGCAGAAACATTTTGAACAAAGAAAGGGCTTCAATGTCTCACAAGAAGCATTGGTAGCTACATGAGAAATCTTTGAAGATTAACAAGAATTTTACCAAGGAGTGAAAATTTCCAACTCTGTGTAGAAACAGTGAAACACACTCCCATCACCACCTGAAATGTTCGTTAGGACAAGAGACCCAATTGTCCAGCATCCTGAACAACTCAGTCCCTGTGCTTCTAGCTTCCTAAAATTCAGCTGGTACCCAGCTTCTTGTCCTGTGCCATGCGAGGCCTCATCTTTGCTGAAGTTTAGCAGGGGCAATAACCCCTGTTTTAAACCTGCTGTGGTGGAGGCATACTCCATCAGGCCAGCATGTGATAAAACTCAACCTGGTCACCCTGACATGTGACATTTAGAAGAAAATAATTTTGCTGTCCTTTTCATCCACCCTCTATTTGAATGGAAATTTTGCCCAGATACCTTACTTTTAAATATTATTGTGTATTCTATTATTTTAACATACAAACTCAGGAACTTTCATTTGAAACACCAAATAGTGTATTATTCAAATGCCCAGCAGCTTAACTGTAAATTAAAATGAAAGGTTTCAAGCTTTTGGAAAGCACAGAACATGAAATATATTTGCATGCGTTAAAGTGTTTCTTGATCTTGTCACTGGAGTAGTCTCCTCACAGAGTTCAAGGAATTAAACACTATTTCTCTCTCCATAACAGTAAGTTATATGTCCTTTTGGTTAAATGTGATTTTTGTGTGATGTAGTTATCCAGATTGTTCTCAGTAATAAATCTGCTCCTGCATAATTGATTAAATAACCCTTTGCTAGTTCATGTTGGTAAAATACATTCGTTCTTTTTGTAAGTGTAGATGACCTTGGAGGATGCAAGCCAGGAGGAGGGTAACAACGTGACAGCTGAACATGCATACAGAAGGGATCTGCCTGGTGTAATCCTTGCACTGCGAGCAAAAACCTGCCTGGAAACTATGGAGATCTTGCCCAAGAAAGGTTTTCAGCAAGGACCCTGAATAGAGTGGTTCAGGGACTACAGATCAGGTAGTCAGCCACAAATACGCACAAAATGCTTCGGTCAGCTCAGGGCACTTTCTGAACATACAAATCAATGACAATTAAAGTGGATTATGAAAAAGCAATAACAGATAGTTAAGTCTTTATGTGATTTAAACAAGCTAAAGATGCAGGGCCTGATTCTTCTTGTATGCTCAAGGGGTAGAGACGTAGCTTTAATAAAGCATATTCTCTCTCTTCTTTTTTTTTTTTTTTGTTTCCTGGAGATCTTTGAATCTGTTCATGATGGAGGATTACTGTAATGACTGGGAGGGGTTTAGGCTGTTGAGACTCCTTTGTTACTGCAGATGCAACTCTCCATGCTGAGACAAGACATATTGTCGTAGCAACTCTTCTGATATTTTAGGATACTTTGGGTTAGATTTAATGTGCCCTTACTTAGCCTTTTCTGAAAATCACCTTAGAAGAATCTGAGAGCTACAAGCATTGCCTGAATGTACAAAGTAGTTTAGGACAGATATCTGCTTCAGTCAGTACTTTCCAACAGCTCTCATTCATTAGGAAAAGAGTATAAGATACATGCAGAATTATTTTCTTCAAATATATTAACCTGATTTCTAGTAACCAGCTGGTTATGGACTTGCTGTATTGAATATTTTTCTGGATCACTGCATTTAGTACCAAATTGCTCAAATATCTATGAATTTGTCTAATCATTTTTAAAACTCATCTATAATTTTGGCCTCCAGGATATCCTGTGATGATGAATCCTTCAGGACCTTTGCTATTTGTACTTGACAGTACTCAGCCAGTCCAAAGAATCTGACCCCCTGACTTGAAGTGAACTTGCTGGAAAACAAACCACAAGAGCAGAGAACAGTAACAGCCTTAGTGAACCTATTATACAATAACAATGTATTTAAAGGAGGTAATTTTGCATAAAGATCTAAAAATAACCAGGCAGTTTGCAAATGGTTTCCAGTGGAAGAATTATATGTACACTTTAAGGAAGTAAGAGAAGTGAGTTTTCACATTTATGAATGGATACGACTGTGCAAAGCCACATATAAAAGCAAATAAAGTTAAAGGTTCCCTGCTGCAACACAGCAAAATTAGTGAAGTGCTTTCAGCACAGAAATAATGAACATGCTGAGGGCTCTTGGCCGCAGGGAGAATTCTGGTTCTGGAGGTCTGCACATGCTGCAAATGCCTGAAGAATATCACAGGGAAAATGAATTGCAATTAGCCAGCTAGCGATTATTTTAAAGCAAAAAAAGGGTCTGAGCAATTCCATAAAGATACTGAAAGTAAGCTTGAGAGTGACAGGGTAGGCAACAAGCTGAAGAGATTACTACAAGATGTTAAAAAGAGCTTTACAATAAATCAAATCTTCAACTGGATATTTGGACTCATTTTTTTCTAAACAAACTCTGGAAATTGAAATGGTAGAAATAACCTACAAATCAAATAGATGTAGGGGGGAGGAGTGTTAGTGCTTCCTATTCCAGTCAATAACTACTCCCTCTTATCAGTGATCAGATTATTTAGCAATGCAAATGGTGACATTAAGGAACCAACACAGCTGGAGGGATGCGGAGATGGCTAACAGCGATGTTGTTTTCCACCGGTACATACAATTCCAAACCTGAGAACGCATCAGGCCACAAAAGGAAAACTGGATCTGAGGTTTTCCTGTGTGTAGTTCAAGAATTTAATCACTGAGGCAAAAACTTACAAAAGAATCAACATTATATCAAAATGCATTAAGCAATGCATTAAGGATGAGGAACCAGATTTACATACACTGTAGCTCAGTATTTTTGCTGAAAATCGATACCAAGAGAATTCAGAAATCAAATGAGAGTACACAGGCTCAAGCACACTGTTTTATTATAGTGCACTTGATTACTCCGACTGAGTATTTTCTATAAACAAGACTATATAGAAGCTGGCAATCTACTACAGTACCACAACAAAAAATATACCATTTATGAAAATGAGAGGAAGACCTTCGTTACTAAGAAAGGAGTACAGGCTCCTAAATCAGCCAAGCTTCCAGGTTAAGTAATAGTGGGACTGAACTGCAGCAGCAATGGTAAGATATAAAAAGGTCAAAGCAGGAGACAAAGGCAAATGTAAGTTTAGAGGACGCAGCAACAGTTTGTCAACATCTCTGTCAACTTCTCAAGATGCAATTCTTCATCTTCATAATGAGAAGCAACCTCAACACATGGCATTTTCTCTGTGGTGGGCTCACTCTTTCTCCCAAAATACTTGAATGACCCTTAGTTTGTCACTGGAAAGCTACCAATCTGTCAGTCACAACCTCTGATGTCTCACCAGTAATTCTTCCTCTCGCTTTCCAAAAGCAATTGCTGCATTCACACCACTTGCAGCAAATCAATCTCTGCTCTGTGAGACTCACCAACTGCTTTAAGCACCCCCCAGCTCAACAACTCCTCCCATGCCACCCCCTCTGCTCCCTGGTGACAACATTCAGGGGTCCCTGCCAGTGCTGCTTTGCCGTTGTGCTCTGGGATGGAGCTTAACAAAGCTTTCCAGTTGCTACAATTCTCTCTCCTGTCCACTGCGATCCAAATGATACAAAGGAACACCTGAACTACTTCAAAATCCAGGTGAAGAATGACATTTCAAAGTCTATTGGCAGGTATTTGCATGACAGATATCTCACAGTCACTCAGAAATCTTCTTCATCACTGTGCAGTATAATAATAGCATCTTTATGTAATTATTGGAAGCAATTCCATATGGTTTTGCTGCCTGCCCATGCTGTCTGAACACAAGCTGGCCTCCTCCTTGATCCCTTCCATGGACTGTGGTCACTTCAAACAGGGAGGGGAAACTGACTCACCAAATTTTGTCTTCTGTTATCCTGTCTTTTTCACTCATCTTTGCAAACCAATGTGCTAGGCAAAGCAGCACTCCCTACCCACATACACAGGAGCTTAACCCAACAGACAGATATCAGTGTGTGGTGCAAGATGTGCAGATGTCGGTGTGTGGCTGCCTAAGGGGAAGGGGAACCCAGATCACATGCTGGAGGAAGCCTGCCCACAGCCACACAGGTGGCAGTGGCACAGCAAAGCCACAGCTTCAGACAGCCCACAGGTCTTCCCCAGGATGTTAAGCACAGCTTGTTTCCATTCAGGTCTCCAACACAAGGACATGAATGAGGCGACAGCAACGGGAACGTACAAGGGAGCTCTCTAGCTCCTTGCTAATCCTGATGCACATTTAGAGCAAACAACATGCTCACCGTGTGTATGCAAACTCTACAAAACATAGAACTAGTAAGTTCAGTTCAACATAAACAATACAAATACTTTCTTAAAAGAGGTCACAGTGCATTCAGTAAGATTATTTCTGTCTTTGTTTTTTGCATACCTTTTTGCCTCACTCTCCTTTTACCCCACTAATTCTGATGAAGGTGTGTGCGTAGTGCATTTCAGGCATCGTCTTACTAAAGAAGAAAATGTTACAAAGGTGTGCTCCCTCCAAAATCAAAGATGTGAGAAAGCCCTGTTCTGCTTTGAGCTATGGGCCCGCAGCGCTGAGTGGGTAAATGTTTTCTGGTCAGGGCAGTATTTTTCCTGTGGCTGTGTGCTGCCAGAGTGTTTATCTTTGCTCGAGTTGCCTGGCTATTGCAAAGCTACTTGAAATGATTCATGGGTCTGACAGATGTCTGGTACAGCTGGATATGTCCTTGATTATCCCAAAAGTCTGGACAACGCTGTCATTCACCATTGCCCAAATTATCTCTGTATTGACTGCAGAAGCCTCTGTGACAGTACTGTAATGGCTAATTACCCAGGATACCTTTGATACTTTACAATGGTTTAGAAGAGTTTAAAAAAAAAAATAAAAGAGTGAAAGTATTGGAGTAAAATCGTGTCAGTGAAAAGTTATACCTTACATGTTCCAAAACAACATATGCTTTAACCTACATTAGAATATGCTGTATAGGCAAAAGAAACCCAAGCTTTCCTTTTAAAAAGGACAGATTTCCAGCAAAATGGGTAAAGAGGAAAATGTAAAGAATCCTGACAATGATAAATCATGGACAATAGAAGGAGCTATTAGCCAGGAGAGAATTGTATGTACAACATTCTTGGAGGAAAAAAAAAAAAAAAAGAAAGAAAAAGATGATGAGCAGCCATTTGCCTGCTTTACACATTGCAGGAAAAAGAACATGTTCTGCTTAGCAGATAACAAAGAGCAGCATGGGCAGTGATGTTTAATATGTATGTGGCTATATCATATAACCAGCTATAAGTAGGTTTGAAAGCAGAAATCTTCTTTTTCTCACATTATCAATTAGTGTTTTTTTAAGAATACATTTTCTGCAAGGTAGAAATACATTAAGAAAAGTTGTGAAGGAAGATAGGATACAAAAATCTCATTTCAGTGAAGATGAGGTGTTCCCAAGAGAGCAGATGAGCATAATTAAGCCTGTTACAAGGAGCACATTAGTTTGCCACATCCTGCCCAAGACCACCGGAGTGCCACTCTCATCCTAATTGCGAGACTTGCAAAGCTTTTCTGTACTATCCAGGGCTCTCCCTGCATGCCAGAAAGCAGCCTTCCCATTTTACCTAACATGTGAGGCCATATTACTGACTGACTGCTATTCAGCTCAGATATTTTTCATGGTATTAAATGAAATGTCAGAAGTTTACAAGAGAAGTGCCGTGTCACCCAGCTCACATGGAGGGGCTGCAGAAAGAGGGATGTGCTGTGCTGGCTGCCCAGCTAGGGGTAAGCTGGGCTGGATCAGCAGGCAGACAAGCTCTTAGCGACAAAACCGCTGGAAAATTACAGCAAATCTCTGATTTCTAGGGCTGTTTCTCTTTCTCTCTCTCCATGACTCAGCCTAGGTCCAGCCTGGAAAAGCAGGTCACCCTTTTCTCCCTGAGTTTCAAATAATTCAGAAATTATCCAAGAACCACAATGGCTGCTGCTCCCATGAAGTCAGTGATGAAAGTCTCACTGAATTTAGCAGAGGAAGGATCTATGAAAACCTTCCAGTTCAGCCCTATGTGCCAGGCACACTGAACAGGAATGTGCCACCCCAGTGCTTTCTGCAGAGTGGAACAGTTAATTCAGTCCAGATACCAAACTAGGATTTGGTGACCTTCACACATCTGCTTGATATAGACTTAGTGATATCAGTACAGAAAAAAAGGATCCCCAGTACATTTAATACTCAGCACATGTTGTCTTCTCCTTGTTTGGCCAATTCTTCAAAGAGCTTCCAATTATTGCAGGTATTTTTTATGTGAAGTCATTCACTAAAACTTATCAATACATGAAAAAATGACATGCAGAATGTTTGCTGTTGAAAATACAAGGCTTATTCATTCATCTTATTTGGGTAAAAGGCCACATGCTGTTTTTTACAGTTCACATTATGATGGAATAATTTTTACAATTAGAGTTCTGCTACTACTATTACTTAAATTTCAAAAATATATATTTTTAGACTCAATTAAAATTTACTTACCTCTCCTTCATGCAGAAGTATGTCTATTTGTCAATCTGCTAAAACAACTATAAAATCAAGAAAAAACTAATTCAATATGAGTCTTTGCGGGACTAACCACATACAATCATGGGAAATATTGTACATGATTCTGACACTGCAAAAGGAAAGACATCATATTAAATATATAGCAAAGCTGAAATACCTCTTCTGATCCCACTGTTTCTGGAGGCTCAGATGCAATGGGGAGGAAAATTGAATTTCCAGTTCTTGCAGCATGAACTAAAGCCTGACTAAGTCCTGTAAAGGACTACACAGTACATCCATGGACATGTACCATATTGGTAAACCAAGAGCTGCCTTCAGCAGTTTCACAAGTGGCCTCAGCCTCTGCCTGCCTAGGGGCAGCTGTGCTGGTAGGTGAGTGGGCTAGAGGCAACCAGCTGTGGAGACACCTTCATCCTCAAGTAACTTAAGACCAAATTTAGCACTGGCAGCCTGGAGATGCACATGTTGTCTATAGCATACTCATTTCTTTCAGCTATTGGGTTGGGTCTAACAGTTTCTGTAGAGAACCAGTCTATGCACAAAAAGGCTTTGAAATATCTCATAACTAAGGCAGAGGCCCATGGTAAAGATGATGCTAGAGATTTTTGTCCCCTTTCTACTACTTTAATTTTAAATTTGCCTCATATCTATATATTGAAGATACTCAGAGGGGATGAGTATATAAATGAAAACTACCAGGGAAATAAATAAAAATTGAAGTTCTCTCTGCTAGAAATACAGACTCTTTCTCAAGCACTTTTTTCAAGTTGAGCAGTCAGAAACGCATTAAATTCTGATATCAGCTAACTGAACAGAACCGGGTGATACAGAGAACAGAGAAAAAAAAAATATAAAATGTATACCACCAATGATATTTGTTTACCATTTTGTGGATTTCAACTCCAAGCTTCCCATTGCCTTTTGAAGAATCAGAATGCCTAGTACAATGACTGGTTACTTAATCTGGAGTCACATGTACCTCATATAGGAGCCTGTGAGATGAAGCCCAGTCTTGCAAACTGTCCTTGAACTCAACAGGTAGGAGTGAGACATTGGCTGACAGTGTCCTGATGTGGAAATGCAGAGTCTGCATCTGAAGATGTGATTTTTTTTTTTTTTCTAAAAATCTTCTGACCATATTTAAATCCCCAAAACCAAACTAAAACAACAACAAAAAAGCACTTGTATTTTATTCAACTCATTGACAGGTTCAAGCACTTAAATGAGGAATACCCATGGTCTAAAATATTGATTTCCTCACATAACTGAGCTGCAG